TCTCCCTCTATCCCTCCTTGCATTTTCTCTCTCCCCCCAAAATAAAAAATAAAACCTACACTCTTTATAAGAAACAAAATATAGAAACACATAAAAACTTGTAGTCCATATAAAAAGGTTAGGAGAGGGGCGCCTGGGTGGCTCAGTGGGTTAAAGCCTCTGCCTTCGGGTCAGGTCATGATCCCAGGGTCCTGGGATTGAGCCCTTCATCTGGCTCTGTGCTCAGCAGGGAGCCTGCTTCCTCCTCTCTCTCTGTCTGCCTCTCTGCCTACTTGTGATCTCTGTCAAATAAATAAATAAATAAATAAAATCTAAAAAAAAAAAAAAGGTTAGGAGAATTATGAGGGAACAGGGTGTGATTAGAGGGATGCAGTATGTGTCTGAAGTGCTGGTAATGCTTTATTTCTTGACTCAACTGTTGATTTTATAGTAACAAAGTGTACATTTACGTTTCATGCATTTCTCTGTGTATTTTATAACAATGTGTTAAAATATTCATAAAAATATGTGTTACCTAGGAATGTTTTCAAAAGATGTACAAGAGTTTGGTGAAGAAATTTTTAAACTTTAAAAATCTGGAAAACACTTCAGAAAAATAAATAGGAACATCATGTTCCTAGATTTTAAAACTTGGTATCAGAGATACCACTTCTTAAAATAACCTATAAACTCAATGCAATCCTAACATCCAACAGGATTGTTCAAGCTAACTTGATAAGGTTTTCCTAAAATTTACATGGCTAAAAATAGTCAAGACCATCATAGGAAGATAAGATGTAAGGAGGGGGGAAATCTTTTCTACTAGATATAAAAGTTCATTATTAAGCTATAGTAATTAAATTATCACTGGAAATTTGATATGACAGAAGTAACATTGGCAATCAGTGGGGGAAAGGGTAACTTTTTAAATAAATAACTCTTGGACAATTGGTTAAGCAAATGAAAAGGGGAGGAAAATGGCCCCTTGTCTCCTATCATAAATTAAAATAAAATCTAGATGAATTAAGAGCTTCCATGTGAAAGGCAAAACCGTAAAACATTTAGAAAGAAATCCAGAACTTTTTACTTTTTACTTTGAATCAAGGAAGAATTTTTTAAACTAGACAGAAAAAGCATTAACTATAAAAGATTAGTCTACATTAAAACAAACTTCTATTCATCAAAGGATATCATATTACAAATGCAGCCTCCAACATTGGCTACGCCTGTTCCCTGCCACCTAATATTCACACCCTTCTGTTGTCCCCTTCTACATTGCACCAGGTTTGTTTTGCATCACCAAGTACATATGGCAGAAGTCATGGTAGATTATGTCTGAGATTATATAAAAACTACGCCCCTGTCTTGAGTTTTTTCTCTTACAGATACCTCACTGAGGGAAGCAAGATGCCATGTTCTGAGCATCCCTATGAAGACGTCCACATGACAAAGTCCTGAGTCCTGCCAACAATCATGTGAATGATCCTGCAAGTGGACCCCCAGGTCCACATAAAGCCTCGAGATGATTGCAACCTTGACCAACACCTTGACTGCAACCTTCTTAGAAACTAAGCCAGTCACCAGCTATGCTACATAGCAAGATAATTAGCACCCTTAATGCATGAAGAATTCCCATGAATATAGAAAGACAATCAACAACAAAAAAAGGGCAAAAGATATAAATTGGCTTTTCACAGAAAACACAAAAGATTTTCAATTTCATCAATACACAGGGAAAGCAAGTAAGACTACAATGAAAGGCCATTTTCATTCACTGAACTGACAAAAATTGAAAAGACTAACTCCGAAGTGTTGGCCAGGTTATGGAGCGTAAGTAACTCATATACAAGTTGTAGGTGTGTAAAACTGTTACAATCACTCTGAAGGAAAAGGTGTCATTTTTTAAAAACTGAAGATAAATATAGCCCACAAACTAGCAACACAGAACTTGTTATCAGTAAACATGCATATGGATATACATAGCAACACAAGAATGAGGAAAAAGCACACATATCCATAACAGGAAGATGGATACATTGTGTATTTATGTAATGGGATACTATACATACTAAAATGAACTATACATAAACATGAATAAATCTTAAAGAGCGTTGAGTGAAAAAGCAAGTCTCAGAAGATACCATGCAGTATTCAAAATATTTAAAAGTAGAATGTTAATAATATAGAAATCACATGAACTAAGTTCATACACATCAATGTGCAACTCTAGTAAAATAATCCTTTATCCTTTAAATAAACTACACAATAAAACTTAAATCTAAAGTGATGAAAGTAGCACATTCAGCAACCACTAATAATTTCCAAATCAAATCAAATTTCCAAATTTGAACAGCTGGGCTGATAGAATTTTTTGTTTAACATGGCTCTCACCAGCTGAATGATATCCTCACTATTTGATAAAAGGCTGCAAACTCTTTCAGTTACATCCCTCACTCAACTGATAGTCATTAATTTACTAATGTGCTGTTTGGCACCTAAAGAGAAGGGACATGCTGCTGATCCACCTCTTACCTCATTGGACAGGATAGCGCCATCTGGGTGCTGGCTATATGCCAAGAGCCAGTGGTAGGAGCTCGCAGCTAGAGGAGAGAATGGGGGGTGGGGGAGTACTGGTTGGATGGGGATTGATGATCTGGGATGAACTGGGAACTTGTATGTTAGGTCTGTCTCATTCCACACCAAAACTGGTTCCCATATTGGCCAAACCAGAAAGAACCAGTGATTGGTCAGATGCCAGTTATGATTTAGGACAAAGAAAGATGGGGATAGCAAAGAGAATATAAAACTAGGCAAGTCTGCCAGAGCTTCTGCTGGCCCTGGGACAGAGCAGCTTGGTCAGGCCAGTGAGTGTAAACCAGTGGAGATGAAGAGGGCAGACAAACAATGATACTCCTATCTGGAGACCAGCCAAGGGAAGAGGGGGAAGAAAAGAGCGGGAGTTGTGCTATCATCTGGGGGAGAGCACTCTCTTTTGGACTTAAGAATCCTGGTACAGTCGCTCTCCTCACAGCTCTTCAGTGCACAAGGCAGGTCACCCTCCACCACAAAGGGCTATGTTCCTAACACTTATGCCTACCCACACTCCCAATCTTCCCAGCGGCTACCAGAGCTTAGACACCTCCCCTTGAGCAGGATGAGCCATTTCTTTGGGAGGATGAACAGAGTTCTTCTTCAGCTTGGCTGCCCAGGTTCCTCTTCCACTCAAGGGCTTACAAAGATTTCCCCAAACCTGAAATAATAGTAAATATATAGCAATTCCTTCACCTTTGTCCTCATTGCTCAAAACTGAAATACATCACAAAGTATCATATGTGGTTTCTGAGAAACCACATGTACTGGAACTTGGTTTTACTAGTTTCTGGAATTACCATTTACCAATTGGTATGGAAATATTTCAGTATTAATATTAACCATGGTTGTATCGGTGTGCACTGGTTCAATATCAGGCCTGCATATATAGAGTATGACAACTTCTTTACTCAGAAACACGGAATGCTAATCAGGTTTAGGAAAAAATACTCTTGTGGTAACATTTAGAGAAACTGAGAAAACAAAAACTAAGAAATTCGGTATAGTGGTTATCCTTCATGGAAAGGAAAATGGTAATTTTCTATTTAAATTGGGTGATACACTTACATTTATACTGTATGGTTCATAACATACACGTATTTTCCACAAGAAATTTTCCACAGGGTTGACATTCTGGGTTTACCGTATCAGCTCGTTGCAAGCTCCCATTTTCTCCAACAATGCTATCACCATCTTACAAAAATGAGTAAGAAATCCTGGTAAGTCCTGAAATTGTGCTGAAATAAATACATTTATCTCAAGTTTCCCAACTGTATCTAAAGAAAGGAATGAGGCTAATTTGATGTGTCTTTTTCTTAGGATCTAGGTCAGTTGCCCATTACATTTTCTTCTAAATGTCGACAAAATTGCCCAGTACTTTTAAGACTTGTCAAACTTCCCAGAGTTTACTGTTCACATTTTGTATTTTCCCACCCCTAATCTTTTGGCATATCTTAAATTTCCAATAGTTTCTTATTCACAGTAACTATACTTGAGAATATATTTGGCCCCACGTTTATGAGTTCATTGAAATAGGTTTGGTGTTTCTTTAATATTTTTTCATCTAAATGAATACCTTCTCACAAAGAAAATCTATCCTTTTCAACAAGTCTAGAGATCCTTTCTCTCTTGTTAATATTGTTATAAGGATGTTATCTTTCCCTAGCAAGTAGGATTTGACTTCCTTGATCTCAATTCAGATAGTTTAAAAGCCCTTCTCATTGTTTTGAGTTTTTGTTGTTGACACCGTTTTCCTGCTATTTTGTATGTGTCCATACTTCCAAACTCGGCATGGATCTCTAAATTCTAATCACAAAAATTACAACCCGTTATTGTTCAGGATTAACCCAGAGCTTTAGTATTTTCTGGGGTTTCTAGAAGATAATAGTTATGGTTTCATATTTCCCCTTTTAAAAAGCTGAGCCTTCTGAAATTAAGACTTCCTAAAATGTCAGATATGACACTACTGTGACAAACATTGCCTTCCCATGCTTTGAAATGCCAGGAAGATATAGGTGCTCTCTGACCAGGAATTCAAGGAGAAGCACAGTAAATGCTGACCAGCATGTGGATAGATCAGTCTTTGGTACAGTGACACTTTTTATGGATGCAGAGGATAAGATGGTGTAAAAGGAAAGTCTGTGCAACATAGCTATGGTAAAATAGAGATTAAAAGATCCAAATTATTACACTCAATTTAAAATTACTCTAAAGAAACAGTTTTTCTTACCTTTAGGAAAGCTTGAAAGAAACTAAAACTAGAAGAAAATTTCCAAAACTGCTTTGCAAAAAATGTCACCCAACAGATACTTCCACTTCTGGAACTTGTCATCTACTTTGTATCATCAGGAATTCAGCACAATGAAGAACAAAATCATTAAATCTCCTTAGTTCACATAGGAATAAGAGATAACACACTACACACCTTAAACTGACCATGAAAAGATTGTTTTATTCTGTGAAAATATTCTCAACAGAGAACACGATTTTAAACAAAGCATTTACCATTAAATCAACATGTGCACAAAAAGAGTAAAAATTACTGAAAAATTAAAGATTTCTTTTGGACAATTCACATGTTCAAAATTTAAGAATGATTTAAGAATGATTTAAACTGTATAAATACAAATGTCTGTCCTATTGTAATAACCCATGTATAGGTTGCACTATTCCACGTGAAGGACCTTGCCTCCTACGGAAGCAAATCCTGCTTTGAGAAAAACAAACAGTAGCTTGAAAAGAACAGTTAGTCCTTACAAGAAAGCCTTAAACTTTGCCCTCTGTGGCTGTCAGCCAAAAAAACACAAGCACTTCAGGCTTTGTACAGAGGACAAACACAGCCAGATCACATTTCCTCCTCACTGCTAACCTTTAAAATAAAAATAGCACTAGATTTTAAAACTACTTTATGTAGTCTGTCAGTACTGAATAATGTCACATTATATAAATAACCCTGTAAAGAGATTCAAAGTCTAAGCTATATAGTTTACTAGCCTCAAAGGTAATACACTATATGTCAGCTGTGTAACAGGGGTGTACTTGATCTTATGAAGGCATTAACTTTCACACAATTGTCATTCAGCTTTAGTATAACTGGTAGTATGATTCAAATAACACTGGGGGAAAAAATTATTAAAGCAGTCACACAGCTTCTAAAATATTGCTTAAAATCCAATAATACACAGACCATTTCACGTTCTTTCTTCCCTCAAAACAGTAACAAACAAAATTAATGAAGCTTCTGTGGTACAAATACCATTCCCCCAACCCATGCCCATCTCCCTATTAAACACCACTAAGAAATTCGTTAAGATACAAGTCATTAACAGAATCACAAATGTGAGGCAGGACAACATGAGCAACAGGGGCACTAAGGACAATTATATTTACAAGTATAAACATACAGAAATTTTCATTTTACAAGTAAAAGTGCACATAGATCATTACAAAGTTTCACTAAATTTTATCTGGTTCAACAAAAGCATCACTTGGAGACAGACTATCGTTGTAATAATCAAATAAGAACATGGTCACCCCAAATTAAAACACAATGGGGGGGCCCATAAAACTTCTCATAAAAACACTGAGTAAAGTAAAATGAACTTGGACATGTCTTTAGCTTGATGCACAAATTTGAAGATGCACCATCAAACATGGTAGAGCTCTAAAAGCCACCTACCAAGGCTAGGTCGGCATCCGCAGCGGCGCTGCCGAGTTAAAGGAGGTCGCACTGAGCTGACACATAAAGCCCTTTGTGGGATACTGTAGTGGTAGTGTTGGCAATCAACAGATTTAGGCACTCTAGTTTAAGGCAGCATTTGAATGGAAGCAGCTGACTTCTGACAACAGTCCTTTGTCTTGAGGTGGTGAGTATCTTGTGTTTATTATGCCAGGATCTCAGTGCTGACTATAGATTCTTCTCAGACTGAGGTGAAGATGTATTACGTTTCAGAGTTCTTTCAACTGGGCTGTAGGCTAGAGCAGAGATGTTTTCTTTTTCTTATCATAAATACTTCAGGTTCACAAACTACTTCTTCATAATGCCAAAACTGGAATGTTTGCAGTTGGGAAGTTATAGCAGGGTACACGAATACTAGGATGGAAACATTAGTGCTGGAGATGTCTGACAAAGTGACTTGCACTACAAATGTAAAACAAAACAAAGACTTTGACAAGAACAAGGGATTATAAAGACATGCCTGAAAACTCTAGCCCAATTGCTCTAGACATGCAACAGGATGTTAAGCAAGCACAGAGGTGGCGCAGGCAGACACTGACAAATGGCAAGGGGTCTAAAAGACAATGGGTCTAAAGGCCAATTAAAACAGAGCTGGGACATACGGTCCTCTTGGGGCAGCCAAATGTAAGACAAATTTCATGACAGCTCTACGTTTTTTCTGATTTAAATATCAGTAAAAGAAATGGAAAAAAAGTTGGCCATTTTGGGCTTTTTTCCCTTTATGTGAATAACTGTGAATGAGGAATTTAAAGACTGGTATTAACAATGATTCTTTAAAACAATGTATGGAAATGATAATGAAGTTAGTAAAAAAAAAAAAATGTCTGCATGCATTCATGCAACTTGCTTCTCTCACTTTCTGAGCCTGACAACTTAATACCCTCCCCCTAAAAGCAGCTGCATGTAACCTCCTTCAACATCTTGCCCATTTCCTCAGAAACCCTCTTCAGGAACCTGTAGTCCAGGAGGAAAAAAAAAAAGAACAATTACTGAAGACCTTTGGTAAGACCAAAAGGGGTATTCAGTTTAAAGTGTCTGTCCCAAATGTCTAAAATCATTTTAATAGTCAGCTATGTGAAAACACCAGAAAAATCTGGACATGAGCAAAATTAAAGACCAGTCTTTTAATTGCTTCTTTGCTTTACTTCCCCACATGACCAGCACTGCACAATCCTTAATTATACAGCATTTTCCAACAAATGCTTGTTAAAATTAATTGGAAAAAATACTCTTGAATTGATGATTGAGCTAAAATGAGGAAATGTCCTACCTAAACAGTGGTACAGATAAAGTGCTACAACCCAGTTAGTCAAAAAAGGTTTTTCTTTTCAAAGTAAAAATTTGCCAGTACTTTTCCTTCCATTCAAGATTTTCTCTCAGTTTATTTAGAATCTATTTTCCTATGTATAATTGCTAAATCATCACAAAAGTGGTATTTCCCAAAAGACATTTTTCAAGATGAAAAACTAAGTGTTAATCTGGAAGGAAGACTGTACATTATTGAAAATTATTAGTATACTAGATGAAAATATTTTCAGGTCTCAAAAAAACTCCATTTTATTCACATAAGACCGAGACCAGGTTGATTTCTTTTATAGGTCTCTTGATTAGCCTACAACTAAAATAGATTTACGTTCAAGGTGTTTGTTTTCTTCCTTTAAGAAACTAAAGCTAAGGATAGGGAGAAAAACGAAAATGACTGTATTGATTTTTTCAATTAGCCGACTATTACTTTTCTTCCTGGAAACTGCAGCTACAAAAATTCAAAATCCTAGGCCAAACCACTCTTTTGGGAGTTAGCTTTCAGAGCAGTTTTACTTATTTGAATTCACTTACAGTCACTGTGTTTTCTGAAGCAAAGTGTATGTTGGGGGAGGAGGGCTTCCTATATCTGGATTCCTGCCCAACAGATCAAATTCTATGATTTATAAGGCAGAAAAACACAAATCTTCCACAGAGACTTAAGCAGGACATAAAGCAAAAGGCTTTACACCAATAAAGCTTTACATCAATAAAGCTTCACACCAACGTCACTCAAATGGTAAAACATCATGAGAACAGTTTCTTGTGGTAATAATATTCACATCTTTAAGATCGAGCCTACACTCAGCTCACATAGTGAACAATGTATCTTGGATGCCTTTAAGTTTTCTCGTTTTCCCACCTATTGAATGTGTTTTTGTTTTATGTTATCGTTCCTATGTCATACACATCACAAAACTGCCTGGTTAGTTTAGATGTAAGTTACTGCACCTTTACTGTTTTTCTCTAGAGTTACATCTATGTATGATGTGGGAACGTAGCCTTCTTCACCATTCTGTCTCCGAGCTCTTGTCCATCCATCACCTTTGTCTTCCTCAATTATGTATAGAACTTCACCTTCTTTCATTGCCAGGGTACCTTCATTATGTCCTAAATGAAAGTTTTCATAGCACAAGCATAATTAATAACTTCAAATAAAAGTTACAAATACACAAACAACATGAAAACCTACTAGATTTCAATGTACCTGGAACCAAGAGCCCACTAACTCTCATTAGCAACAGCTCTATGATGCTTTAGTTTAACCAACACTTTCACAAACATTATGTCACTGGAAATGCACAATAACCCTGGGAAATTGGCATTGATATCACCGCCCCCCACCCAATGCAGCAGATGAAGTATCTTAGCTACATTACACATGCTTTTGACAGGATACTCTTATTTCACTACTTCAATTCCTTTCCCCAGTTTTTTTTTTTTTTTTTTAAAGATTTTATTTACTTATTTGACAGAGAAAGAGAAAAAGAAAAAGGCAGCAAGAGAGGGAATACAAGCAGTGGGGAGTGGAGAGGGAGAAGCAGACTTTCCACTAAGCAGGGAGCCTGATGCGGGGATCGATTCCAGCACCCCAGGGTCATGACCTGAGCCAAAGGCAGACGCTTGACAACTGAGCCACCCAGGTGCCCCTCCTTTCCCAAATTTGAGTGGCGTTGCTATCTAGAAAATTCATGAGGTGTGGATCAGGAAGAAATTACTGGAAGGTGGGAAGAAAGAAGAAAAGAATATAGTTTGGAGAAGGAATAGAGAAAAACACAGGTTCAACTCCGCTGATGGTGGAGGCAGAATAGTCATAGCCACAAAGCATGAACTTTCTTCGAAATCTCCTCAGACTCAGGGCTCTCCTTCTCCACTCAGGGCTCTCCTTCTTCTCCACTACCAACCACTTCCAACCAGATTAGCAGTAATAGTTTTCACTAATGAATCTTCATTTAACATATACTAAATTCTCCAGGTAACGTTAGAGCAAGAACTTATTTAATACTACTTTCTCAGAATGAGGAATAACTAAGAACTTTATTTAACTTTAAAATCAATACAATGGATGGGTGGGGAAGGACCTTAAATCATATGCCACTTTGTAACAAATGATTATGGAAGTGTTACTCTGCTCCTCTGTGAATTTAGGAAAAGGATTTTTCACAGTCCCAAGAGAGGGAAGGGCAACAAAAAATCTCCAAGAGAGAACCACAGTGTCTTCCTTCCCTCACAGGGACTGTTCTCCAACCATCAGAAGGGAAGGACGGCATAGTCAGAAGCGACCATATTCTCTCATTCTCTCACTTGAAAATACAGCCTACAGGGTCTGAAAATAATAGGGACATTCAGTTATGCCATGTGCCTTGTACCAGTCTCTCAATGATAGCAAGTTACAAGGAAGAGATTAAAGTGGCATCTGTTAGCCTTTTACTTCCTAGGTTGAGCTACATGCTCAAGCTGCTTCAACTGTGATGAGTACATGTAGTATTAAGATCTCTAGGGGAAATTAAATTCTGTTATCGACCAAAGTTGATAAATGAAATCTGTACTAGGATGCTGATAACACAAGTAATTTTCTTCCAGTGTCATGTACTGAAGAAAAACCTCTATTTGTAATATAGTTAAAACAAAAATATTCATACTAATGAGCTGGGATTACAATTTGCTGACAATGAACTATACAACTAAGAACACTAAAGTGCATGATTCAATGTATGTAGACTTTAAGGAACCAGTTTTTATCAAACACAACAGAAAATTATACCATCAAAAGGGTAGATAGCTTTGCAGTGTCCAATAGCAGGCAAAGGATCGTCATCCTCAAATTCATCATCAAACTCATTGTGGTGACCATGTTGTTGAGTTGGTCCACGGACTTCTTGGTTTGCATCATCAGTGTAACTTCCCTCGGGACTATAAAACATAAAAGTATACCTCATCAAATATCACAAACATGGGAACTTTTTATGCTATCTACAAGTTGAATTCCTCAGATCAATTCAGAGAACTAAATATCAACGACAGTTTCAAATTAAGCCTTTAATTTCTTCAATCTTGATGATATACATAAATTGCTGATAATACAAAATGCTTCTTTGTTAAATTTCCTGAAATTAAAAAATTACAATGTTCTAGGCATATGGCATGCATTCAATAAGTATGTCTCACTATCACTGGGTCCAGAGATAAAATGGGAGAAATGGAGGGGACACTTGTCTTTCATCACTGCAGATTTATCACCTCCTCTTTTGGCAAAAGAACCCTAAAATTCAATAGGGGACCTATCCAGACCCATGTTCAGTTCCCAGGCTTCAGGCAGAGCTTTGTCCTGACTGCAAAGGGCCTGTCTCAGCACAGCACATGTATGGTCAGAGTGAACAGTTCATGAGGAGGCTTATAACCCGATCAGGTAGAACAGACCCCAGAGACTTTTCTTTAGGACTGAAGAGAAGCTCCCTCCCTGCCTTCTCTACTGGACTTGAACCTGGAGAAATATGAGCCCCAAACTTTGGAAGCTCATCATATGAAGCCTTCAAATGGAGCCAACATAGTAGAAGGCAGAACTGTAAGGTAGAGAGAAACAGTTCTATCATCTGAGTTCCTAGATCAAGCTCTCCCTAAAGCAAGCCAATAAAATCCCTTTTTAGGTTAAGCCAGTATGGGTATTTATTCTGTCCCTGAAAGCAAAAAGACTCCTAATAAAGTTAACTTCCAATTAATCATGCCAACAATGAAGTTAGTAAAACTCAGAAAATTCAAAAGAACAGGTAATTCAAAGGTATTTTTTTCTTAAAATTTTTTTAAAAAGAGAAAAGTGTTAATAATTTTGCTAAAGAATCAAATGACTGAATAAGGTAATGGGAAAATCTGTATGAATAGAAATTAAAAGCACTTTGGAAGCCATGTTCTTAAATAACACAAACTAGAGATTATATTACTTTAATCTAGGTTTTACCTAGTAACAAAAACCGATATATTTTTAAGTATCTCTTGAGATACTAAAGATAGGTACTCTTTCAAAAGTGATAACGTAAGAAAAGAGAAGGTAGAACTAAAATTTATCAAGCACATACTATTCCCAGGTATTTTACTACGAGGTGCTTTATGTACATTATTTCATTTATTACTAATAATCCTGTATGATAGGTATTTTAATCTCTATTTTATATTTTAAGAAGCAGACTCAGAGATTATTAAAAACGAACTTGTTCAAATTGCACTGTAATTAAGTAGTAAGCCAAGATTTGATACTAGATCTCTCAAATTCTCTCTTTAAGGAGAATCCTAATTTGTTGGATGTTAGTGGAGGCAGCGGGGAAGACATATACACAGCAGGGGAAATGTCACAAATGGTATGGAAACTTAGCAAAATGCCTTTTGGAAGCTGTGATTCAAACTAACAATACAGGTTTTTTTTTCCTTCACAAAACTTTGAGCAATTTAACAGTTAAGTTTTTCTTTGGCATATGCCACCCAACTCCATCTAAACCTTGGAATATTCCCAGGTCAGAGGAGCCCATGCCTCCATACTGTAGGTCCACAAATTTTCTGTTCCTACCTCTGTTTTTGGATGCATGACAATCTAATATAGACCATTAATACGAAATTTCATATTTTACCTGTAGTACTGTGAAGAAACAGAAAGTCATTTAGGTTCATAAAACTAATGTTATTAAAAGCCAAACCTATTAAATCAGGGAAGAACTCTATGAATTTTAGGACAAAAAGGTGAGAAAAACTTGAGGGAAAAAAAGAAATACACATAAAATGCAAAAAGTGACCTTTCTCGTCCCTGTGTTACAAGATGATTTATGTCACTGCTATGTCTTCTGTCTCCTCTCCCACCTGTTTTGCCTTCAACTTCAGAGAGCCAAGCCTTAGGGAAAAAAAATAAGTAAAACTTAGCTCAAAAAATATTTTTAAAAGTTCCCAAGATAGTCTACATTTCAAATGTGCTTTAAGTTTTTATAATTACCTATTTCTTAGAGAAGGTAAACCTTTATTCTGATTTGATCAATGACCAACTTTACAGCTGGTAAGAAAAGCAGGTTTAGTTTTACAGTTTTAATTAAGAAAAACTTGAATGAGGAACTAATTCTAAAGATTATATACTATAATGATCCCTTTTAGACCATACACCCTAAAATTAAATAAAAATTTGAAGATGAAATTGTAGCAAAAACCAACCTATCATAATGAAGTTTATAAAAATGATTTTACCTTAGATAACTGCAAAACGAACCTACCTCATTCTTATGGATTTCCATTCGTAGGCGGTCAATGTTATTCATGGTCTCTGCTAATTTAGGCTGCAAACTCCCTGGATCCCCCATTTGTGGATTTTTCTCATACACATCTTTCATTTTGTTGAGTGCTTCTCTGGAAATGGGAAGGAAGTCACAGAATATTCACTTCGTATTTTTCCAGGTAAACATACCTGGAATGATTCTGGTGACTCTCACATAGCCTAATCTTAAGAGTCCCATCTCTTTAAATTTAGTCAAACATTACCAGCTAAAGATAACCTACATAAAGATGATAACGTATACAGAGTAATTTATGGAGACCGTCTTTTCAAATATTTGGAATAAAAAAATAGATTTCTAATTTCTTGCTTCTCATTTATAAGATTTTATACATAGTATAAATACATACTATATATTTGTATATTGTGTGTGTATATGTATATATATTATATATGTCTTTGTACATATATAGGTTAAATTAAGGCCTGGAAAAATATTTTTCAATATTCTTAAATTTGCTTCCAAAATCAAATTCATTATACCCCCATGCAGTCATACATTCCTCAGTGTGCCTCATCTTAAATCACAGCATCTTTGTCCTCCCACTCAACTATGCTAGAAGTAGGAATGCCATCTTTCACCTGTCCCTCTCCTAGTTCATTCATCTCTTCTTCATTTCTCTAATCATATCACTGCCAGTTATACCTCAATCAGCACTCTGTGACTCCCTCTAACATCTGACATTATTGACTAACACTCTAATAATCTTTTCCACCTGGATTTCCTGGAGGTTCCATTTTCTTTTCCCTTCTCACCTCTACTATCTCATCTCCCTCTCTGGCTTCTTCTCTACTTCTGTTCAAACTCTAAATATAAATGTATGTTACATAAAATGACAAACGTTTCTTCTCACCTCATCCTACATTCATTTTTGAAAATGATCTGTTTTTTTTTTTCTAGTTTTATTGAGATATAATTGACTCTTACTATCTTCAGAGGATACTGAAATCTCCAGTCTTCCTTCTTTCCTAAGTTCTAGACACCCTGAACAGGTATCCTTTTTGTTGTCCATCTAGTGCCATGTTTTTTTAACTGTGTGCTCTTTGTTCATTTTTCTTTTTAAAATAAGCCCTTAAGTGTGGTGAAGTATTATCTATTGCTTCTAAGTGCAAGAAGGCTGTGAGGTGCCTTATTGAGAAAATACATGTGGTTAGACAGGCTTTTTAATGCATGAGTTACAGTGCTATTGGGCCTGAGTTCAAGTTAATGAATGTACAGTATATATTAAATTATGTGTCTTCAAAAAGAAACACATATAAAACGGGGTTATAATCTGGGCAGCTGGGTGGCTCAGTGGGTTAAGCATCCGACTTCTGATTTCAGCTCAGGTCATGATCTCGGGTCCTGGGATCAAGCCCTGTGTTGGACTCCATGTTCAGCCAGCAGTCTGCTTGAGATTTTCCTCTCCTTCTCCCCCTCCCCCCCCACTCATTCTTTCTCAAATGAATAAAATCTTAAAACAAAACAAGGTTATAATTGATCAGTTGATAAAAATGTGACCAGAGGCTAAATGGAGCTTAAACCTGTACTTCACTATTCACAGTGACTTTATAGAATATAACTACTACAAATAATGAGAATTGACATTATAATATTTAATTTACAATTAAGTATACTATCATACCCAATGTATAATTCTTAAGATCAAAACTTTAATCACTTCTACACCTGAAACTGAAGTGACATTGTGTGTCAACTATACTTCAATAACAAGAAAAACAAAACAAAAAATCTGGAATGAAACTGCCTCAGCTGCAAAAAAACAAAAACAACCCAAAAACCTTCAATCACTCATGTTATAGTTTAAGCTCCAATTTTTTCTTCAGTACAAAAGCAGATAGTAAGGCACCAATTCCCTTAATAACCCTTTATTCATCATAACAATCTGTTCATGAAAACAAAACAGAACTAAAGGAAACTTTATATAAAATTGAAAAAAAATTATAGCTTCGAATCCATGAATCTGAAGCTGTAAGTAATCAAGTATTATTTGCTGCAAACAAAATTATTATAGCTTTAGGTTTTGACTGAACTCAATGTACATATCGAAGCAAAATGAAATGTATCAAAGTGTAAGAGATGGTTAGTGCTGGTGAAACTATTTTGATAAGGAATCCTCAAACTATACTGCAATATTAGGGAAAGCACAAATATAGACTACTGGCATCCAAGAGGTAAGCTGCAACCTAAGAAACTAACATTTCATTATTACCTGTGACATGGCAACCATAAAATTTTTCAAAGTTTAGGAGCCTACTTTTCCCTCAAAAGGTATTTCAATTAGGATATATGATTTTTAAACCTTTTATACATCACATTTAAACACATCATTCAGAGTCAACCTCTTAAAGAATAATATGGTAGAAAAGAGTTAATGGAAAATACTTTTGGTCTGATTCTTTTTGTAGTTCTCGGTTAAGTTCATCGATACGCTGCTGCAGCTTTTTACGTCTCTGTTCTGGTGGCAGATGACTGAAATCTTCTAGTGCTGGGCCCTGAAAATCATTATAAAAGACATCTTCAGGACATTTTATTTTTTAAATATATTCACTATAAAATAAAAATACATTATCAATTTTAAGTTTAATTTCAAATTAGCCCCCCAAATAACTCTTTTTAAGAAATTGTAACAGATATGTATGTTAAAACAACTGTATTGAAGAAAGAGCTCGAATTCCAGTCAGTTTATAAAGTCATAAAATAGAATAGGTAAAAATGTAACCAGATGAAGAAAATTGTAATGACCACTATCAGATTATTTTCAGGTATTGGCGGTTAAAATAAATACATATGAACCTTCTTACGGCAACAACAAAAAAATGGAAACACGTAACATTTCTCACCTATACAAATTATTGTTTTATAGATAACATCACATTGCCAAATCAAATATTGCAAATGTTGACTGCAAATATGAAAAGTTTATAGAAATAAGCAACTTACCTCATGAAGATAATCTAATTGGTGAAATATATTTTGATATTGAATAATCTTTCAATAATTACATTTATTAAGCCACTCTTTAGAACCAAAACATACCTGATTATTAAAAAACAAAAGGTAGAACTATCCCCTGTGTGAAATATAAGAAATTATTCTAATAAGGAAATATTCATTATCCTTTTGTACAACCTAGTAACATCCCTCAGTTATTCCTGAAAGAAAGTTATAATCCAAAAAAAGATGGGATCATTCTTTAGGAAAGATGCTTGATGTTTGAAAATTTTTTAATGTTTTAATATTCAAGAAACTATTATTTAAGAAAAAGTACTAGTATTTAGATGTAAACTTCTGATTCAAATTATGTCTTTCTCATCTTAAGTGTTAATCATGTCACTCTTATTTGTCTTATTAGAGCTTACACAACAGAGCCAATATTAGCCAACTACTGATTCCATTTACTATAAATCCATATTTACATCTTAAGTTTTTATACACTCCAAAAACTGATGACATTTTTCTTTTGGTGATTTTAGGAATATGCCAGTTCAATTTTCCAAGTATCGTTGAAATGAAATGCATCCTTGCTCTTTAGGCCACTTATGCATATAACATATGCTAAGTAGCTTTATTTCACCATCTGTAAGAATACTTCCTTGACTTTTAAAAAACTCACTTTTAGGATGGAGCCATGATCAAAGGTAACATTTAATTAAACAGAATCTCCAGAATTTTCCCCAAGTGGCCCATACATTATGGATATTTAACAAGCTTGCCTTTAAAAAGGCAGAGTATCTTGTCTGCGTTAATTTTTGTTCTTTAATCTACCAGGTAGCAGAAATAAGAATCTGTCAATCAACTAAATCTGACCTAACTAAACGAATGGGAGAACTTCTTAAAGAAGGTGCCTTTAAATTTAGTGGTCAATTATTAATGTAAGCTGTCAGATTTAACCTAATTTCAGGTACAGGTTTTGAAAACTATTATATATGTGCCAAAGATAAAACTTCATAATCTTTATTTGTAAAAATATTTCTTAAAAATTCTGAAAAGCTACTTAATGAAGAAATATAATTCAGTGTGGTTTTTGTGTAGTATTACAATAAACTCATAATTACCTATAAGTAAACCTTCCAGATTTCTACTTACCCCTAATTAAACCTTGTTCTCAAATTTATTGAACAGTGGATACTTAGGCATTTCTGATATCCCATTTTGACAATATAACCTGTTCTTTACAGAATATGAGAACTAAACACACTACTTCCTATAGATATAAAGACCTCTGAGGCATTTTACAACTTTTCCTACTACAAGGGAATTAATTTCCTTTTTTTTTTTTTTTAAGGGAATTAATTTCTAAAAGGACAGACTACAAGTCCAAAATTAAGTGGTCTGAAAGAGAGTGGTCTATTTTCCAAAAATAAGAAACTATGCAAGCGAAGATTTGGGGGTGAGGTCTTCACGATGTAGTTCCATTAATGTGTTTGAAATGTATAAAGGACCATCACACACATACACTACACACACACACACACACACACACAAAAGTTAGGTTATGTGTGCTTTTTTATTCCCATTCAGTAGTACAGAAGAAGAAAGCACGGACTCTCTAATGAAATTAGTAGGAAATTTTCTTTCTTACTGTTTTGAAAATCTAATGATTCTTAAGATAAACTAGAAATAAAAATTTATACAATCTTTTTAAAAGATGTTAAGAAAAATTATTTTTAATTTTCCATCTGTAAAAATATGAACTTTTGTTCTACCACATAACTTTAAACTAATGACTAACTATAATTTTACGCTCCGTTAACATGACAAGGACTCCACTCAGTAACATTTAAGAACGTAACGGGTTGATTACAGTTAATCACATTATTTTTTAATTTTATGACATCAAGAGATACTGGCATATATTGGACTATGGAATGAATTATAAAAAGAAAAGACGCATACAAAGTGAAAATGTGGGGTTGTACCTTACCACTTATTTTGAATTTAAAAAAAAAGTTTTGAAATTATTTAATGTTGGCACAGTATATAGATCAGCACATAAGGCTTACCATCTTCACCGACCACTGAATAGTTCAATGGAAAACAGAAAGAAATGGTAAATTATTCACATGAAATCATAATACAGAAGATGCAATAACTTACTTTTTTTTATAGTATTAAAATAAATCATGAACATTTCACAATCCAAACAATTATGCCAGAAAAACAATTTTAAAGCACATGTTGGGGAAAGTAAATTACTTGCAAAAAAAAATACACTGATGATAATGGGCAGATATTTTCTAAATGCAACTAAAACCCAAAACAGAAATCATTTGATTAGTAATTGTTTATTTTCTTCTTTAAAAGATAATCTTTTCTATAAGTAGATTCACTTATATAGCTCTTTATTCTCAAAATACTAATATCTGAAGAGCTAAATATAAAGATCTACTATTGGCCATTTAAAAGAAATCTTATATGAAGTATTAAAAAAAGAAGGGATCTTCCCAATGCATTAAACAAAATACCATCACAGGAATTTTTATAGTTCAAAATAAATTTCAAATAAATTCCAAATTTAGTTCAAATAAAATTCAAAATTTTGAATTTAAATATGTCAAGGGTAGATAAGGGTAACATTTCTACTTTAGTTTTAAGGTTTTTTAAAGAAAATTATATTATCAAAATACATTATCAAAATAGTAACTGAGTCACCCAGACTCAAGTTTCCCATACATATTTCCTAATAGACACAACTATATGGGGTAAATGTTGCTTTGAAGATCAAGTTTCTATTTTTCAAATTTTATTCTGAAATCCGTATGTTCAATAAGCAACACTAAAAATATAATGGCAATTTTTAGAAAACTGGATATAATTTCTCAAAATATGAAATGACATAGCCAGAATGCTCTCATACAGTATATATACCACTAGTGTGTGTGTGAATGTGTGTGTATATATATACACACACATACACACACACACACGCACACACACATATATATATGCCACATTATGTGGGTTAGCAACTGGCATCGCACCTATCAAGCATTCCCAGTAAACACGTGTGCACACATGTGCACGCTAACGCACGCACACACATACACACACACGCACCCCTTGTGACCCGTAATACGCAATACAGTTTTAAAAAGTTAATCTTCACATTCAATGTGTTTGGTTCGCAACCTCTGAAATTTATTTTTCTCTATTTTCTAAATCATCATGTTTTAGAAAACGTGGGGGATGTCAGGTAGAATTTCACATAAAAAAACTGAACATTAATAAATAACTGACAAAAATATCTACCCCTTATCTCCAATGAATTAGCTATATATACTGATGGTTATGATGATAAGATGACATTTATTATTCATTATCTTTCCAAATTAAGCTTAACATTCTTTAGACTGTCAGTAGTTTCAAGGAACAAAACCACAACTTATTTTGGTATCACAAAATTCCTGATAAAAAGATTAAAAGGATTAAATTTTAAAAAGATATTCACAATCTTTAATTTTATTAATACAAAATTATACAGAACACAAGAAGCAAAATATGTTAAATATTTGAATTTATCTGTTATAATTTTCCCCAGCTAAATTTAAGTGAAATAAAAATTATTTTTCCAGTTTCTATATTAATGTTTTAAAGAAAACATTAAGATGATTATAACTGAAGTATCAAATGTTTCAGTTTTTAATCTAGTTTCTTATCAATTAGAAGATTAATTTATAGTTCAGTAACCTTAGATTTGGGGATACAAAAAACAAGTTCTTTGTAAAAATATTAGAAATACATCAAAATATTTTTTAAGTGATTCATGTTCAATGCATAAATACCCTCTTACTCTCATAAACAATTATTATGTACCTATAACTAGAAAATTTCATAAAACCCCATACCTTAATAAATACACAAAGGAACTAAAAAGGAAATCAGGCTATTATAATTATTATATGTATTTCATTTAAAGATAGGAAAATCTTGATAACTGTATTCTGAATAAATAAAGCTTACAAATATGACTTTAGGTTTTTCAGATCATGAATAATTTAGATAGAAAACATGGACTTACTATTGCTAGATAAATCTTCCCCTCCAAAAAAGGATTACACAGAAATCTCAAATAGTTACAGAGTAAAAATTATTTGTTTCTATATGAAGTAGTTAATTTTATGTGTGCACCAAAGTAATGGTGCACCTAACCACTAATGGTTAGGTCTTGATGTCACAGAAGGAAATTATACACCACCAGCCCTCAGAAAAGGTCTACTGGTCAAAAAACATCAGACCAATGTAACATTTCTCATACCCTTAAAAATACTAGGAACTACAGAGGGGAGTGGGGTTATGGACATTGGGGAGGGTATGTGCTATGGTGAGTGCTGTGAAGTGTGTAAACCTGGCAATTCACAGACCTGTACCCCTGGGGATAAAAATATATGTTTATAAAAAATAAAAAATTTAAAAAATAAAATAAAATAAAAAAATTTTAAAAAGGAAAAAAATATTAGGAAATACACATACTAGGTTTAAAAAAAGAAAAAGAAAGAAAGAAAAAAAAGAAATTATAATTTTTTAGGAAAGCCAAAAGTAGGTATTTAGGAAAAACAATGTAGCAAACATAGTTCAAAACAAGAGTTTCTGGGGCGCCTCGGTGGCTCAGTGGGTTAAAGCCTCTGTCTTCGGCCTAGGTCATGATCCCAGGGTTCTGGGATCAAGCCCCGCATCGGGCTGTCTGCTACGCAGGGAGCCTGCTTCATCTTCTCTCTCTCTCTCTCTGCCTGCCTCTCTGCCTACTTGTGATCTCTGTCTGTCAAATAAATAAATAAAATCTTTAAAAAAAAAAAAAAAAGTTTCTGATTTGAATGGTACAACTCTTCAGCTTTAAGAAACCTTAAGACTTACTTTGTAAGCTTAACGGACTGACATGTAAATCTGGCTTTTTAAAGCTTCTCTTCTTTTTGAATTCTTCTACATTGAGAAAATTCTTCAGTGGCAGAAAAATATTTCTACAGGTTAATTTTGAAATAGAATCTGATAAACTACCAAATACCAAAATGAAAAATTTCTCAATAATAATAAACTTTGTTTTCTGCTCTATCCTCTAATCCCCTAGAGTTAATTTATCTGCCATATTTTCTACCTTGCATGTTGCTTTTCCCTTGGTATGAAAACTAATAACAAGAGGAGGAAGATTTTGGCCTTCTGGAACTGCCCCCCCCAAGAACAATGTACTAATATTTAAAATTAAAGCAGTAAGTGTAAATAAGACAAATAATGGCTAAGCAGATACTTTTAAGTTCTACAGCTTATAAAATTCTACCTTAAAAATGAAGATGTCACATATTTAAACTTCTTTCTCTAGAGCTCAGTTTTAACTTCCTAAACTTTTTCACAGAACTATATTTATTTCCTATCTCTATAACTATACAGTATAGATTACTGTAACTGGGTCTAATAGACTTGGTGTGTACAAAGATACAGCTATAAATAGTAATTTTGTAAGATTTATGTAACAGAATTTAATTAAGTCTAAATCATCATAGAGAATAAAGATGGGAATTCTACCCACATAACTCAATCAACAGAAATCCCAAGTATGATGTCTTAAAAGTCCTTCAAAGAAGTGTTAAGGGCTTTTAAAAATGAATACAGGTACCTATACTGCTTGTAAGTATAATACAGACTCATTCCTAGAGACTTCAGAAAGTCATTAATTACCTGTATCATTCACACACAGAATTAGGTAAGATAGATGTAAAAATATTCATGACATTACAGGAAAAAAGGAAGTCCAAAAAGGGACATCATACACTAGAACACATCTGCTGCATTACTGACAATCACTTCAGTTTGTCATATTGTTTTAATGAAAATGCAGAGAATGTTATCCTGCCCTAAACAAATATATCTTGCTCTACATATGGTCAGAAGAGAAACTCAACTAAAGCAATTTGTAGAAAAGACTATAAAATGTATTAAAACCAGACAGGCTAGACAGAGAAGGAAAGAGAAGACACAAAAACAAAGAAGGAAGACAGAGAGAAAGGGAGGAGAAAGGGAGGAGAAAGGTCAGTGGGGGGAGAGTGGGCAGCAAAAACAAGAGCCCAACTATAGTTTATCACCACTAATGATTAGATTCCTTATGGCACTGATAGACTCAGAGTTCTCACCTGTGGGCTTTCAAACTTATGTTTTTCATATGTCCAAACAAATGCTCAAATTTCATAAATATATCTAAATTGTGAGCTATGAATATTATAAGCACAACCTTAAAATCAAACATAAATAAGAGAAATTAGCTTCACTGACATAATGGAGTAACACTAATATTTATCACTTGTATAACAGCTGTTGCTAAAAAATAGTTTAGGGGCGCCTGGGTGGCTCAGTGGGTTAAAGCCTCTGCCTTCCGCTCAGGTCATGGTCTCAAGCCCCACATCAGACTCTCTGCTCAGTGGGGAGCCTCCTTCCCCCTCTCCCTCTACCTGACTTTCTGTCTACGGTCTCTCTCTCTCTGTTAAATAAATAAATAAAAACTAAAATAAATAAATAAATAAAATTTAAAAAATAAATAAAAAATAGTTTAATATTGCATTTTACTATTCGAAAATTTTTCACTTATAGAGAATTTCTTCAGTTTTAAGTAAACATCAAAGGCTGGCCAATTTTTTTTTAAAGGAAAAATTCTGGTAGAAAGTACTTTTGGTTTAGTCCAAGAACACAAATTCCACATAAACATTACTCAACATGTACTATTTTATAGGCTTTTTAATTTACAAAATACTTACTAATGTATTAACTTACTTTGATCTACAATCCTAATATTTAACATGCCTTTCCTTAATTAAGTACTGGAAACTGTTTTTATACTTCTAAAAGTAGGGCAATTAAAATCGAACGTGATTTTTTTATTGTCAACAAAATATAAATTGGCAGAAGTCATTATTAGTGACAAATTATTGCATGAGTAACTCCAGTGACAAATTACTGAAAGTCTTAAAAATGTAAATACATTACAAGACAATGGTGGACATATGATTTCACATAAACAAAAAAAAGAGCTAATATGATTGTACCCAGCACCCTCTTTATAATACCATTCTTTTATGGTTGAGCATTTCAAACGTTATAAAGAGGAGTTGTTTTTAACTTGAGGGTAGCTATACTTAATTCTGTGGTGTTTTTAAACTGCATATTTACAGGAGAGAGCCTTATAATGAGGGTGGAGAGTATTAAAAGCCACACTACACACACAATAGGCCATCATGCATTTTAACCCATTATTAAACTTACCCCTCTTTTGAGGCTTCTGAAAGAAGGAATTCTGGGCTTCCCTGTTTTTATTTCATTCATACAATAATGCACGGGCTCAATGGAGAATGTGAGAAACTGGGACCCATTAGGAGTACTGGATGTGAATAAACTAGTAGGGGTTAAGGGTGGGGACTGTGGCTAATACGGAAATAAAGAAAGGAATCAATAAGCCAAATGTGCATATTTTTTTCCTAAATGAAAATTCTATTTTTGGCAACATGCTTTTCACAAAATAAATCTCAAAGTTTTCTATAAAAATAAGAGAATTAACATAGTTTTGCCAAAACTGTCATTTTAAAAAGTCAAATTTACTTTAAAAAATGTACCATTTCATTTGATCACTTTTTACAAGCTGACATTAAAAATAGAGTACACAAATTATTATGTTAGAGCAATATGACCTACATAAAAAAATTCTCTTCTGGTTTCTAGAATATTAGCACTACCTAATTGGTATACTTAACCTGTACTTGTCAGAGATAAAGGTGGCAGCTACAGGTAAAGTTATCTAAATAGGCAATGTTTATTAAAATATTAAAATTGCAACTATTATCACAAATAGGCAAATTTCATTACATTTGTGATTTTTCTCTCAGACTGTTTCTATTTCATCCTCATTACACCTCATTAAAAAAAGAAAATCAGTAGTCCTTATTTTTCTAAGCTCCATCTACTTTGATTTGACTTTTAAAAAAGTCTCACCTCTCAACTTCTCACCTGGAAAATATTATTAAAAGCATGAATAATGATTGAATTAATTCTAAGTGCATTTCTAAAGATATTTATAAGTATATTATAATTTGAGTTATATTTATGCACATTCTTATGTCAAGAGCAGAAAAATGAATTACAATCATGTGTACTTTAGAAGAGCATATCAGATTAAAAGTACATATCTATTCTCAAACTAGATAGACACTGTTATAAACACTAAATTGGTAAGATTAAGCACTCATCTATTCCATTTGCTCATCTGTTGAGCTAGACTTATCTAACATATACAACACATCAAAAAATGGATTCCAACAAGAAGTTAAGAGTGAGGATCTCTTAGTAAACTAGAGACTTTTTAACTTCCAATAACCACAAACATTGAGCCCTTCCCATTAAATATTTACCTGGATGATAAAAATAACTTTATTAGTATAGTCTATAAAACCTAATGTGACATTTATTTTTGCTATGGTCACCCATTCATTCTAATAGAGAAACTGCAATTTTAGTGGTCTTACAGTTAGATCATAAAGACTCCTTAGAAATTCTGACTGAAACTATAAACAAGTGAAATTTCAAAAGCATATAACTCATGAGATATTAACAACTATTTAATATTTTTACTTATCAAGTGGTGTTCAAATGTTAAATCCAGAAATAATTTTTACTATTTAGATACAAATCTGTTTCTAGTAAGTAAAAAGTTAACTGAATCATTCAAATAAAAATGCTTATTCTCTATTAATAGTAAGCCATTATCCAATCAACACCTACATTGATTTAAATGACACACTAAAAAAAAATTATTAGCATAGAAGAATTTTACGACTTTTACCTTTGGCTTCTTTCCAAAGAGCCACAACTTGCCCTTGGCCTTTCCTACTGTGGTTTTGGCATCCATCTTCCCACTTTCTTGTTTGGATGCACTGATAGTCCCATCAGAAATGGTTCTATAAATATGCTGACTGTAATCTTCAAATGGAAAGTCTCCTGGAGGTTCAAATCCAGACTTGAAGGAGTCTACTACCATTTGAGAGTCCTACACATATGAAACAGGTTTTTAAAACCATTTCATTTATCTTTAATACCATTAGCTTTCAAAACTTTACTCAAGAAAACAACAAAAATTTAAAGGGAAGAATTCTATAGTTATCATTAAAGGTTTGAAGTGAATAATTTGTTCCTGTGGATTAGTAATAAACCTTAAATATTTTAATCCCAATAAAAATACTAATTTATAATCAAGTTAACACTTTATAAATTTGTAATATTCATGAATGTTTTTATTTCATAACTTCAACCCACAAATTCATCTGAGGACAAGTTAGTTGATAAGAAAGATCTGACAGAAGGAATACAGGAAGAGGTTCTACTCAAGTAGAAATTCTAAAAAGTTTCAAAGGAAAAGGGCATCTAACTGCAAAAGAGAGTAAGAGACAAGTAGAAAGGCTTTCATTCATCCAAATGGGAAAGGATAAACAAAGTATCTTAAAGACATGTTAACTGAGCAACAGAGAAAGATCTCACAAACAGTATTAAATACAAAAAGCAACTTTAAAAATACGAAGTTTAGTATAATTTCCCTAAAACTTTAAAACTCACATAACTACTATATATCGTCTTTGGACAAACCTACCAGGATCCCAACGTTCTACTGACACCTTAAGCTCATTATTTTCAAGCAGAATACTTTATCTCTATGAACTCCTCCAGACCTGACCCCTAACCACTTCTCTTTTGTGGCCTATTTCTGTTAATTGTGCACTTTACCTGTCATTTAGTCAAATGTTATCCATAAATCAAATCACACTTCAGTTTTGTCATTAATGCTACCCCTACCAATATGAGAAAGGAGAAGGGACTTAACTATATTTGTATTCTTGTATCCAGCCATACTGAAATGTAAACATAATCTCTGAATACCCAATTAAAGAACACAAAACTTCTTTTATTTTTTTTATTTATTAATTTATTTTGGAGAGGGGAGGGGGGAAGCAGGCAAGTGGGGGGAGGGGCAAAGGAAGCATCTTCAAGCAGACTCCCCACTGAGCACCGGGGTGGGGGGTGACTGAGGGAACCCCCACGGGGCTTGATCCCAGGACCCCAATCTCATGACCTGAGCCCTGAAACGAAACCAAGAGTCTGACACTTAACCAACTGACCCACCCAGGTACCCCCAAAATCCTTTTATTTTTAATTTTTAAAAGATTATTTATTTATTTATTTGACAGAGAAAGAGAGAGAGAGAGATCACAAGTAGGCAGAGAGAGAGGGAGAAGCAGGCTCCCTGCTGAGAAGACAGAACGATGCAGGGCCCGATCCCAGGATCCCGAGATCATAACCTGAGCCAAAGGCAGAGGCTTAACCTACTGAGCCACCCAGGTGCCCCAAAAATCCATTTTTAAAATTTAAATTAGAATTCTATGGGTTATAGGAAGGATGCTAATTAACATAATACCAATTTGCTATGAAGACTAAAATATGTGGTACATATTTGGTAACCCCCAAACACTGGTTCTCTTCTCTTACTCTTTCTTCATAATCTCAGTTTCTGCCAACCATCCTTTCTGGTCACCCAATCAACATTTACTGAGAAATGACCAGGTACAAGAATGTTGCCAGAACTTCATCAAGACAGAATGTGACTGGATATACCTCCTCAAGGGGAGCAGGGCTATGCTGTTCCTTCTACTTATTAAAGCCCTCCGCCCTTTTTCCCATGGGCCATTACTTCATACACTACCCATGCTTCAGGTGCCAACTCTTATATTAAAAGCAATTCCTACAATAACTCCAGATCTATTTCTTTCTCTTAACTTTCACTAGAGTAAGAATATAATACAGTTTGTAACCTACAGTTCACAGGTTGCATTATACTCTTAAGTAGATTTAGTGAGGGGAGGAGAAAAATTAGAACGCTTTCCTTTCAGAACTAGAATTTTAGTGTTTAGAATGGTCTAAATAGTATTTAGAATTTAGAATCAGGTACTCATCAATTACTTTGCCCCTTTCCTAATTCATTTCACCATCTCCAGCTGCATACCTAAACCAAATACACTTATTCAAATATAATCATATAGCACTTACTCTTCTTTCATCAACTGATTTTGCGGCGAGAATCATTCCTTCCAAACATTTTGAAATGATAGGAATAACTTTGCGTTCTGAGTCTGCAAATCCTCTGTAACACTCACTGAGTTTAATAGTCCTTCGTTCATCCATTTCTTGTAGTTGCTAATAATCAGAAATTTTTTTAAAAAGGGAATACTGAATTTTCTTTTCATGCTGAAGTAAACCCCACCTCCAAATTAAGGATTCTACAGTAATAGTTACATTGTTGTTAATACTTTTTCCAGTGCTACAAACTTAAAATACTTAAAACTTGAGACCTGTTCTGTAACCAAAGAAAAAAAAATATATCCAGCCTTTTAGCACATCTTAAAACCAGGTGACACTGGTTTTCAAGTATTCTAAAGGTACCCACTAACAGGCTACCAGCTCCCTACCTCTTACCACCTCCACCTTTCATTCTTCAGTCAGAGCAGCTATGTATGTGTCCAGGGAAAGTTGCACTTGAAAAGAGAATTCTGATGCTCTCCCCACCCCCCTTTTAAGCAACTGACCTATAACATATATAAATCTGAGATTTCTAAGCCCTTTAGTTAGTTCAGACTACTTCCATAAGATCTGGCTGGACTAAGGATCCAGAGTTGACTGAATACCAACAGGTACTCAGACCTACCAGTAAGTCTACTTACTGCTCAGAGTGACTGTCAAAGGATTGGGGACAAAAGATGAAAAACAGGAAGCCATAGGGTGAAAATGGTATATACAGTGGAATCCCCACAGTTCAAAAATTCACTGGCACATGACACTAAGAATTATGCTGTGACAAGTGAAGCCAATAAATTAACGGCATTTCTGACATTTAAAATCTGCCAGTGCTACAAAGCCTTTCTTTCACCTAGAAAGCAGCTACACTGCTCAAATCCCCAAACTCACATAGCCTTCATACCAGTTTTTCCTCTCTAATTGCTTCCCGAAGTCTGTGGGTTTACTCTGACACCCACATTTTCACAAAAGGAACTGCTCCCAGCATTACAAAATGGCAAGACTGCTCCAAGCAAGGTCCAAATAAAAGGATCAGCCCAAAACACAGAAAGTGGTTGATCTCCATGTTATGGTCTCCCCAGAACATGAAGGCTTAGCTGGAGAGCCTAGAAAAGCACCCAGAGAGAGGAATGGCAGGCTAGATACTCTGGATTAAATGACTGGAATATGATACCCACTCTAGCCCACTACCTCTAACTATGCTCCCTTTGTACTGCTAATTTGGTTAGAAAGAAAAAGAAAATATATTTGGGCTCACAACTCTTTCCATATAAGCTCTGCTCTCCCACATTACTTTCAACACCATTTCACTTAATCCCTCTTCTCTAAATTCTCGTCTTTCTGTAATAAGCAGTAACATAACTTAGCCCTCATAGAAATTCTGGGTTTTTATCTCAGGCTGTTTGGCAACTGTTTATCATCAAATGATAATGGATGGAATTTGTAAGCAAACTTATGGCCTGAATTACATTTATGATCTGGCAGCTAGGAAGACAAGCAGGCAAAAACTGGGATAGCAAATCCATTTCGTAAGATTTATTTCTGCCACATGGAATAATGCCAGTGATTCTGGTATAGTGTCAAAAAGCTACATCCCAATTCTTGTCAAGCAGATTACAATGTACAATTCCAGTGAATTCTCCCCTATGTCCTAATGCTCAGTGATATGGTATTAAACTTTATCTAGAAAATGTCATTGTTTTAGTGGACTGTTTATTACACTAATAGTAAATGTATAGGAAAATTTGTGATTTCAAAGTTAGGAAAAATTTACTTTTCAAATCTATAATCATAAAGGAAGTTCGTATCACTAATCCTGATGACTAATAAATATAGAAACATTCTGGCTTATTCCTGAAATTTAAGTTTCACATTTGAAGAACAGCTCTTCCAACTCTAAAACTACATTAATTTTATACATCTAAACTTTACCTTGTAAATCTGAGGAATCACTACGTAGAAATGTTTGTGTTGTTCTCCATTAAAGTTCTGTAACTGTGCCGCATATTCATTTTTATTTTCATCAGCCATATGTGTACGCAGATTCAACTGCTGTTTAGCCTAGAGACAAATTGGTCCAAATCATTACCAACAAAAATAATGAAAAAATCATACCTAATTTGCTTTTCTAAAAATTATACCAAAACTAGACTTTTCCTAATTATTATTATCATTTAAAATTCAAAGAGATGCTTGCAGATCTTCTGGCCAGAGCACTATCCGTTGCAACATTCCCTTTCTCTTACTGCAGAAGAGTCCACCCTCTTGCAATAATCTGTTCAAATGAAGTTTCTCCTTACCAAATCCAGATTTTTTTAAATTAAATAAATGACAACATTATGGCCTGACTTAAAACAGGATGCTCTTAATCAGAAGGGAAAAACAGTACAGAAATATTTTAGACAGTTAAAGTCAGTAGTGAAATATGCCTTCACACATAATCCACTTATATCCAACTAGAACCACAGTAGAATCAAATAATGATAAAAATGTTAATTTTAGATAAAGTAATACTTGACAACGATTTCCATCTCTATAAAAAACCAGAGGTACTTTAAGGAATGTTTATTTAGAATACAGTTGTGTTCATCTCAAGCTCTTATAGAAGTATTTTTTTAATGAGTCAGGTTAGCATCATCTATATTGATAAGAATGTTACAATACAAACTTAACATAAAATCATTAATTCCAGATTTAATGAAAGGGAATCTAAATAAATTTCTCAACTGTTCTAAAGTAATAAGAAAAAACTAAGTAGGAATTCAACTCAATTTTTCAGTGTTTCAAGGAATAAATCATGTTATACTACAGTATTTTGGAAACGGTAAAGCACATTGTGAATAAACTTCATTACTTTAATTCCATTTTCTGCAAATGGAGTCTCTAGCCTTCTAACAGCAGGTCCATAAGTTATTCGGAATTCAGAAACAAACTGACCTATGGAAATACATGCTAGCCAAGACACCAAATTAGCCCACAAAAGTGCATTTAATCCACAGTGTACTTGAAGATTACAATACTTTAGTACTACGGAAACTAAACACCAAGCCCAAAGTATTTCCACAGAAAAATACATTTGAAGTTCCAATGTGAGACCTTAAGTACACATTTCATTTATTTCTTCTCCCTTTCTCCCTGCTCCCACAAACTATGATGGAATACAGTATTCCAAATTATTCCCTACTCACAATGGTTCCATCAGGAGAAACCATTTCTATTCTAAAGTCACTAGCTGTGATTGCCAAAGCATGGGGCAAAGGTTCCAGCAAGGTATGTGGGAGTATAACACTAGAAAGCTAATACCAACTGAAGCTTCCTCTGGCATACAGTGGGCTTCATACTAATGGTCTTCTCTCTTTTATTTTTTAATATTGCATTAAAAATCCTTTAAATTTTTAATTGTGGTAAAATACACAATACATGTAACATAAAACTGACCATCTTAGTCATTTCTAAGTATACAGTTCAGGAGTGTTATGGTAAACTCACGCTGTATTATTGCTTTAGGAAAAACAGTAAGTAGCTTGCTCCCTCTTCACTTTTTTTTTTTTTAAACTTTTATCAATAGTTGCTCAATTGAAACTATGATCCCTTCCCTCCCTGGTCATTTACAATAGAATTCCTCTACTCCACAGTTCTTAAAGCAAATCCTCAAAGTTTTCTAAATTTCTAATAAGTAAGGGAACTGCAAACAAATGAACATGAAAAAGGAAATTATGAACATGAAAATAAGTTAAGTTAGGTCAAACTATTAAATATTTTATATCTGGATTTCAAAATACCTAATTAGTCACTAAAGATATCTTTACAGGCAAAATGAAAAAAAAGTTAAATGAGAGTCCAGTCAAAGAGTTCCTTAACTTGTCTACTACATAAACTATGTATTCAAACAATGTTTAGTCAAAGGAGTTCTTAAGGAACCAGTGACAACAAGAAAGGATGAATCCCATGTATTAAACAGTGCTGTTTCCAACTGTTGTGGTCCACATTTTTATCAAATAATGGTAACACATTATATGCATGACATGATGCTGGGAAGGAAATGAATATATGGATGATCAAAATCAGGATCCAAAAATCTTCACAGCAGAGTTGAGTCTAATAATTGATACAGATGTACATATGCATTTAAAATACCAACAGTACAAGTTCTGAAACATGTTCTCATACCACACCACATATGAAAAAACATTGGGTTAACCATAAACTCAATGGGAGTCCATCCAAACAAATGGTCAATATACATTTAGCCCATAATTAACATAAATTTGGTGTTCAAAACAAGGGAGGCAATCAAACTCAGGACCAGTAAGACCATACCTGTATTATTACATCCAATCAGAGGTAACATAATTTATGTGGGATATTAACAAATTAACAGGTATCCAAAGGAAAATAGTTAACTTGAAAATATTTCCTACATAGAATAAAAGAAACACAATGATTTATCTAAGGGTAGAAAATATGCTACAAATATCTAAAGAGCTATTAGGAGGAAAATACAGATTTGATATGTTTCTGGTATCTCAAAGAAATTTAAACAGAGTAATGACCGGGATCAATATAAGGAGATGCTAACGTTGGCGGCAGGGTGGGGAGAACTGCCTTAAGACTGTGTATTTCCAACAAGATGGAACTTAGTATTAGAGGTTTAAAGTCATTAAAAATCAAGGAGAAGGGGCACCTGGGTGGTTCAGCGGGTTAAGCCTCTGCCTTCGGCTCAGGTCATGATCTCAGGGTCCTGGGATCAAGCCCCAAGTGGGGCTCTCTGCTCGGCAAGGAGCCTGCTTCCCCCTCTCTCTCTGCCTCTCTACCTGCTTGTGATCTATCAAATAAATAAAATCTAAAAACAGAAACAAAAACAAAAAACCAGGTAGAAAAAATAAAAGCCTCACAAGTTATACTAGAAGGCCTTTAAGGTAATTGTAAAATCTGGATTTTATATAATTTTATAGCTTTAAAGTGGTAAAGAAAACAGAATGCAGAAAATAAATCACTACTCCCTTCCTTACTTTTTTCTTGTTCTAATCTTATAGAGAATTATAAAATCCTAAATTGAAAATATACAAATGGTGGGCCTTTGTATATACAAAAATGAGGAGTGAGGTTCAAAATCCCAACATTTCAGCTCCATCACTAAGTCAAATGTTCTAAGATAAAGAGCATATAGCAGGGGAGAAGGAAAACCTAAGCAGCGTAAGTTACAGGGCTGATCATACAAATAGTTAATGTTACAGAACATCTGACCCAGGTCAGTTAGTGACAAGAGAGTTCAGTTTCCCAAAATGAATGAATTAATGAATGAATGAATGAAACAAACAAACACATAAACAGCTAACATCACATACCTCTGACACTTTGATCTTGTTTTGCCTTGTGTCAAGTTGGGGAACCACACTACCCAACTCCCATTTGCACACCCCATCAACTTACCTTAGACTTTTTTTTTTTTTTTTTAATTTTTATTTATATATTTGTCAGAGAGTATGAGCACAAGCAGGGGGAGTGGCAGACAGAGCACGCAAAGGGAGAAGCAGGCTCCCTGCTGAGCAGGGAGCCCAACACAGGATAGGAGCCCAGGACCCTGGGATCATGACCTGAGCTGAAGGCAGTCGCTTAACCAAATGAGCCACCCAGGCATCCCTTACCTTAGACTTTCTATTGTTTTGGAATAGGATAGAAACTCATTCTCAATAGCAACCATTTCTTTCTTATGCATTCTGAATGCAGTTATGACATTAGAATAAAATAAAGTAACACGTATTAACTACTTTCTCAGACTAACTTGTGATATGGAAGTACACAAATATTTGTATATTTTAGATTTAGACATAATTTTTCTCTCGGGAAAACTACCAATACAAACACTGTAACTATTTTCCATATGTAAATAATGATATTTTGATATCGAAGTCAGTTTGGATTATTTCTTACCTTTTCAACATCTGCCTTGGTTGCATTAGTATCATTATCCAATCTTTCGTAACTCTGTTGTGCCTTTTCCGCCTCTCTACATTCTCTTTCAAATTTCTTTTTACTCTGTTTAAAAAATTAAAATATCACACTGAGATACAGAATTATCTCATTAAAAAATAAATTTAAAGTGCTGCAACTGTACATTGTATAGAATTATACTAAAAATAAAATTTTTCTAAATTAGGAAAGAAATGTTAGCATTATAATCAATCCATATGACTTAAATATCAGACATTATAGACTGTGAAGGAAAAAAAAAAATCACAGGCATGACTGAGTTAATATTTATAATATACTTGATCATTTGCCAATAAGAAAAAAATCACATGTATTTTATAATTTTTTATTATAAGCTCACCTTCAGAAGGACTTTATTGGTTTATTTCATGTTTTGTATTTGGTTTTGTAGATTTGTTTAGCTGGTTGGTTTTGGTGTTTGCTTTTCATTTTTTGTGGTGGAATGTGGAATGTCCTCCCTCCAAAGTGGCTTCAAATTGTTTCTTCCAGGTGTCCCAGGAATACCGTTAGCCCAGAACCAGGCCTTTAAAATTTTCACTTAATTCAAATGACTATGACTTTGTAAAAGCTATTCACAACAGAGCTGTGTGATATGTACCATATTTCCTTTCCGGCATACTTCCTTTTTTTTACTCCTGGACTTAATTTTTTATCTTTGCTTAGTTTTCAACATATTTTTTTCTAATTCCACTGTAGTGTGCACAGTTCTTTAAAAATCTCTCCTCAGTTAATTCAAACATATTCAGAATTCTATCCATTTTATTTTCTTAATGAAATCTCTTCCAAAGGCCTTGATCTACTGAAATTTGGACTACTTAGCCAAACTAGACTTATTGCATAGCTGCTTCCTTAAAATTCCCTTCACCATCATTCCTTTCACCTCCCCTTTTGATTTTAAATTCATATTTCCCAATTCCACACCTTCCCCATTCCTGGTTCCTTATTTTGCTAGAATACATTCAGCAACAGCTTCCTAAAAGATCTGCAGGAGGTAATTTTCATCATTTTCATTTCAAATTTCTCCATGGCCAAAAATACCTTTACCATCCCTTTCAATTGATAAAATTTGGCTGGGTATGATGCTGTCAGAAATTGTCTTCTTTCAGCAATGTAAAGTATCTTCTGGCTTCCTGATCCCATTCTGATTCCTGATCCTCTGCATAAAACATGTTTGTTTTGTTTTCCACTCTGGAGGCTGGTAAGCATCTTCTCTCTCCTAACGGATCTGAAATTTCAGGAAGACATATCTTGCTCTGAGTCCACTGTGCTGAGGACCTAGAAAATCCTTTCAATCTGGAAACTCATGTCTTTCTATTCCGCGAAAATTTTCTTGAATTATTTTTGTCTGTCCATTTTCAGTGTTTTCTCTTTTATAGAATGCTTATTACCTTGAAAATGAACCTATAGGATGAACCCTCTACTTTTCTTGTATTTTCAATTTCTATCATTCTGCTCTACTTTGAAAGATTTCTTCAATTTTATTTTTTTCTAATGTGTTTTTCATTTCTGCTATCCTAAAGTTCTTCTTTGTGTGTTTGTTCCTTCTTTGACAGCATCTTATTCCTATTTCACAGATATAGTATCTTCTCTATTCCCTTTCAGAATATTAATAGTGTTTCAAATGTTTTGATTGTTTTTGCTATTTTCTTTTTTTTTTTTTTATTAAATTTTATTTTTTATAAACATATATTTTTATCCCCAGGGATAGAGGTCTGTGAATCGCCAGGTTTACACACTTCACAGCACTCACCATAGCACATACCCTCCCCAATGTCCATAATCCCACCCCCCCACCCCCCCTCCCCCCTGTTTTTGCTATTTTCTATTTCCTTTCACAGTTACTGTTTCTTCAAAGCTGCACCCCCATGCCAAAGTTTTGGTCTTTATTATTTACATTAGTTGTTTTCTCTAAATGTCTGAGGATCCGTGCCGCTCTGTTCTTATTTTAAAAGCTAAATCAAAGTTTTCTACAGGTGGGGCTTTTGGATTATTGTCTCTTCCTCTAGGGTAATATGGCCAGGCAGTTTCCTCAGAGAAATCCTACTATTGTTATCTGTAAGTCTTTCCTCTCAAGCTAGTTAGATTCCCCAGAGGAGACTCCTCAATTTCTTACCTGGAAAAACATATCCCTTGCTACCGTATTCTGAGAATCACTCAGAAGAAAGCAGAGGATGTCAACATTTTCTATGTAGCTAACAACCTCATTAGAACAAGTTAGATGTCTATTTCTTATCTTGGGGATTACAAAACTACACACAGGGCAAATCTGGGTTCCGAACCTCGTAACTACAAGGTCAAAGTCTAAATTTTTCACAAGACACCTCTCCTCCTTTGACCTTCAGACAGAGACAAATTTCTCTGCTGTCTCCTTTGACCAGTGGGCAGAGTTCTTACAGTCCACCTTTCACTAAAGGGCTAGTCCTTTGAAGGTTCAAAATTTTACACAGGTTTATCAGTTCCAACTCTCTACAACATATAGAGCTAAAACATCTCTGTCCCGGTATATTAAAACGTAAACCTTTACCAAGGTCCAATAAACCACCACACTCCAATACCTCTGCCTTTATTCTTCAAATGCCACTGTATCAGCTCATAAACCTACTGCTCTGGCCTCTAGTTTACCCTTTTTCTAGCAGTTAGTAATAGATTTCCCTTTCTCTTAGTTCTAAGAACTTAAAATACAATAAAAAATATTTTAGCTATTATATCAAAGTATTTCTAGCCAAGAGGTTTCTGAGTTAGCTCAGATTGTCATATAGCTAGAATCAGACATACCTATACAATTAACATAAATGAATGTGCTCAGAAAATTTTACAATTCTTTAAATGTACCATTTTGATTAGTATAAAAATACCAAATGAGACATGTACAATTTATTCAAACCACATAAATATATCTGAATGCACATAATATTCAGAATGTCACTTTCCTATTAAGATTAAATTTCCACATTAAAAATAAATTTCCACATTTACTTCTCTGAAACTCAGTTCACACTGTTTTCAAACTAAGTAGCTACAGGCTACTAATTTTGTTTCAATGTGAAGCTACTATATACAAAATTACTTTTATATTAGACATCTTATTATTTGTGAAAAACTTAATTGCAGTGCAACAGCTAAAGAATCACTAGTACAATATTAAAAATACTAATGCAGTAATATTAAAAATTCTCCTTCCCTGAAAGATATTATACAATATAGGAATACACTCCAGAAAAGGCTCTCCTTCCTTCACCCTTTACATGCCAGACTAATCAGCAGCCACTTCTATTCCCCCACCCCTTCTTAGAAGAGCCCACCTCCCAGGGTAAAGCCTGAAAATAGCTGAAACTTGCTTTACCAGTTCCCCACAGCTGGAGCATGGTCAAGTAATCTAATCCTGTCAAAGGTACCCATTAGGAAATCTGCTGGGGATTTTCTGAAAGTTTTCCCTCCCTAATAAAAAGGAACAGTTAAAAGAGAAATGCTCTCTTTTTCCTGCTTCCGCATGCAACTGAGAGGATGTGGTGCCTGGCAGCTGAAGCTGGCTGCTGACCATAAGGAAACAAGCCTGAGGGAAAAAGCCAACATAGTCAAGACATAAAAAGTGGACAGAGAAAGCAGAAACAGCTTTAGTGATATCACTGAGCTACTGACCAACACTGAAACTGCTCCATTTCTGAGCTCTATTCTTAATAAATTTGCACACTTTGTTACCTGAGCCGCCTGACAGACCTGGCATCTTTGATACTTCTATCTTGGTAATTTCTCATCATCCCTTCAAAATCTTCTTTGCAGGCTACTCTCTTCTGCCCTCATCTTAAATGCTGGTGTGGCCTATTTTCATGATCCCAAGGTTAATAACTGTCTTTTTAAATATTTTCCTCAACTTTCAATACTCTGTCACTAACTCAGCCTGTCTCTTCCACTTCTTTATCTCCTCTCAATTATTTCAAAAATGTTAGGAATTTTGCAAATTCATTTCCTTGATTAAACAGGAAGATACAGAACTAAGAAATGAGATCCTGCAATATTTCTACATATTCCACAAAAATTATATTTGTCTGTCTCTCTCACTAGACTGCAGGTTAGACAAAAACAAGGACTATGTCACTTATTCTTTTTTTCCCCACTGTTCACTTTTTTACCATGACTCAGTACACGTCAACAATATCTTCAATAAACGTAAGTTGAGCTGAACACACCTTTAATGGTATTGTTAATGCCTTAAGGAAATCATTCTCACATTTTTTTTTCAATGCTTCTTTCTTATGACCCCTCTAACTTATGCTTAGTAACTGCCAACTGTTCTAAAGGCAAGTCAGCACATATTAACAGGAATAATTTGTGCCAACATAAGTTTTTAAAGGGACCAATGACTCATGAGTGTAGGAGTCTGTTATTATGTGTAAATGAAAACACACATACATCCACACTCATTAGGTGGCAGATACTAAGAATGCTAGGTAAGGTAATTTAAAATTTAATAAATGTAAACACTCCCTAAAAGTCTTGTTAAAACCAATTAGAATGAAAATGAAAACAAAAAATGAAATGGACTATTAATATAAATAAGAATTCTCAATTAGCACTAGTGCCTGCAATCATGTATCAATGACATTTATATAGCAGAACTTTACTCTTAGAATATGTGATTTTGGGGCACCTGGGTGGCTCAGTGGGGTAAAGCCTCTGCCTTCGGCTCAGGTCATGATCCCAGGGTCCTAGGGTCCTGGGATCAAGCCCCACATCAGGCTCTCTGCTCAGCAGGGAGCCTGCTTCTTCCTCTCTCTCTGCCTGCCTCTCTGCCTACTTGTGATCTCTGTCTGTCAAATAAATAAATAAAATCTTAAAAAAAAAAAAAGAATATGTGATTTCAAGCTCTGAATATGTGATTTTAAAAAAAGGGAAAAAAGGCCAAAAACACGTATATACATGAGGTTTTTTAAATCTCAAATCTAAAAGTCCTTTTCCCAAACTAAATTAGCACAAACTAAATTAATTTAACATGGGAAAAACTCCCTTTGGCATAATTTTCAAGGAGTAGTGTCCATAATAAAAAATACGCAAGTAAAAGAGTAAAGAGTTAGCTTCTTGCTAACCTGAGAGTTCAGAAAGAATATATTTAAGATTTTATTTACTTATTAAGAAAGAGAGCCTGTGAGAGTAGGGAGGGGCAGAGGAGGAGAGGGAGAGAGAAGGAGAATCTGAAGCAGACTCTGCATTCAGCAGGGAGCTCAACACAGCTGAAACTCATGATGTGAGCCAAAACCAAGAGTCGGACGCTCAACTGAGTCAGGCAGGTGCTCCCTTATAGAATAAGACTATCCCCAATAGTCTTATTCTATAGAACATAATGTGGTAGAAAATTTTAAGGAAAGCAGACAACAATGTTCCTTACAGACATCTTGTTTTTCAAATGACTGCATGCCAGAATATTTAAGAGAAAGCACACTAGCAAGCACCTTTGGAATTCTGGGGTTTTTTTATTTTATTTTTTTAATGATTTTTTATTTGAGAGAGAGAGAGAGAGTGCGCACAAGTGAGTAAGCACAGAGAGGGGAAAAGAGAGAGGGACCGAAATTCTCAAGCAGGCTCTCTGCTAAGCTGGATCCCAAGACCCCAAGACCACAACCTGAGCTGAAAATAAGAGTCAGCCATTCAACCAATTCAGCCACCCAGGAGCCCCCACCCTTGGAAAGTTTTTATAATAAATAATTATTATACTTTTACAATTTTACCTATAAATACTACCAAATATTTTCTTTCCTAACATTTGATGGTCTATAACAGGAGCCCAGTACTAGGGAGATTTACATTATTACAGAATCACTGAACTGGAAGAAACATTTCATATAATCTAGTCCACTGTCTTCATCTTTCATATGCTAAAGATGAAATCAAGAGAAATCAAAAGACAGAACTAGATTCTAGGTCCTCTAAGTCTCTGTCAAATGGTCTTCTGAGGTACATCACTATTAATACTCCCACTACCCCTACCCTCTTATCAATATTTTATAGTAACTATTGCAAAATCAAAAAGTATATTCCTAAACTTTTAGAGTTATCTGAAGTTATCTGAAGATTACAGAATTGGTACAAAACAAAGCCATATAGAAAAAAAAATGACAAAATGATTTCACATTCTTTGCACCAATGTCAAAGAGAATAAATACATCAAGAAATATTAAACTCAAAAGATGTGAAGCATAGGAGAATTTGGGGCTAAGTAGTCTACAAAACTATAAGCATGAAAACATTATAACCTACATTATCCATCTGTTTCCAGCACATGTCAAGGTACTGTTGAGCTTTCCGTCCCTCTTGAAGATGCTGAAGATCATAACCAAAAAACAAATAAAACAAAAAATTATATTTGAATACTAAAATTCTAAAAACTCCCCAAAACCTTTACTTTTCACTTTATTTTTTTAGGTACTAATTATATAACTCTAACAAGACCTAGGAAAAGACTATTAGTAAAGCAAAACTCTCTAAAATGCACTTAATGAGTATTATCTGAATACTTTAAGTATATCCTATAAGACAGATACAATCTCTAGACAAAGACATGACTTGAGTAGAGGTTGACAAGTGTTTTCTATAAAGGGTCAGATAAATATCTTAAGTTTTTGCAAGCTATGTGGTCTTGGTTACAAATATTCAACCTTTCTGATATAATACAAAAGCAGCCACAGGAAATACATAAGTAAATGAGTGTAGGTGTGTTTCAATAACACTTTAATTATAACCAATGAAATGTGAATTTCAAACAATTTTCACATGCCATGAAATATTTTTGATTTTCAACTATCCAAAATATTACAAACCATTCTTAGCTCATGAGGAACTAAGAAAAAGAGGCAGTAAGCTAGATTTGGCCCATGGGCTATAGGTTACCAAATCTTGGTCTTAAACCCAAAGGATCACAAATTAGCAAGAGTATCTTAAGATAATTTTAGTTAAAAGAAACCGAAATACCAAACCAGTTTATACTGAATGTTACTTTAAAAACCAAAGTAATCATGTGAAAACATTTCATGTACTATATAACTGAATGAAAACAATAATTACCATTTTTCTTTCAGTTTTCAGATCATGAGCATATCTCATTAATTCACCATAAACTCTGTGCGCCATTTCTTCTGCTACTACTTCTCGCTGTCCTGCATAGTCATTTAACTCGTTAAGGATGTTAAAAAAGGCTATACACGAGGTAAACCTGACAAAAACATATTAAAAAATGGTGAAATTTATGTATTTTTTCTTTAAAAATGTTTTCCATGAGGTATGGATTGAGCCTGACACTTGGCAAATTTTAACATACTCAACCTAACTCTCTACTAGTAGCTCCAAATTAACTCTATATGAAAAGAATACTACATTTAGCTCAAGTTGTATGTTTGTATATCTTCAAGTAGTCTTAATTTATAAATAAAGGGATATATGGGGTCAAAAAATATTAAGAATACTACCTGCAGGCTCTTTTGGCATACTGGAATCTCTTAAGTAGTCAATTGACTGGCCTGAGCTGGGGAATGAGCTGGGATTCCTAGGACTGGCAGCTGAACCTGTTGCAGAGATGATGTGCTTGCTCTTGAGGACAGAACCTGCCAATCATACCACTCAAATGCATCTCGATGGCTGATCTACAGAACAATTTTGCTATCAGCTCTGGACACAGCTGCTTGTATGCCTGACCACATCCTGAATGGAAGTAAAGTGCCATTATGGTTGGCACCAAAGAGGGGTAGGAAGGGGCAATAAGGGTAAAAAAATGTGTGTGGAGGGAAGGAGAGAAACAGAGAATTGCTGTATTAAAATGTATGGATCTATTCTAAATACACTGCCTGAACCCTCTTTCAGCTGAAGGCAAGTAACTCAGATAATACTCCATTAACACTAAACTTAAGAATCCTAACAACTAACAATTATACACAAAGTTGTTTTAAGTCTAGTTTCTTTGTTTCTGTATTTTACAACCATCCACATATCCCTGTTTAAGACTACCAAAAAGCTATTAGCAATTACCAATTAGCAATTCCTAAACTTTTATTCAGAGTTCCAAGGTTACTCTGAAAACCTTATTCCTTTTTGTTATCCCTTTAAACTAACCAGCTAAACTGTTTTAATACCTGTAAGAGTAAAAGCAAGAATCTGACAAACTAACAACTGCAAAATAAAGTATGTGGAAAATACCCTTTTCTTTTGAAGACTAAATCACTCAAGTACAGTCCCAGTCCACATTTTACTTGGAAACCCATACTTTCAACTATTTCAGAAAACTGAGCCCAATGAAATATTCTTTCTTATTCGAATAAATACTTTATTTAAGAACATGTGATTTTTTAAGTTACAACTTTAAAAAATCATTATAAAGGGCTACCAGCATATTTATTTTACTAAATAACAGAAATATAAGTTTTTTTATTTTAATATGCAATAATAAACAATTATATAATTTACCTTGGTTCTTCATCTTTGGAGGAACGTTTGGGACAGTACTTCTTAACCAGATTTCTACAGGAAGAAAAAAAGTTTTTTAATGTATAAAAAATACTATTGTTGACCATAAGAGACTCTTAATCTCACAAAACAAACTGAAGGTTGCTAGGGGTAGGGGGGTAGGGAGAGGGTAGTTGGGTTATGGACATCGAGGAGGGTACATGCTATGAAGTGCTGTGAAGTGTGTAAGCCTGGCGATTTGCAGACCTGTACCCCTGGGGCTAATAATACATTATATGTTAAAAAAAAGAATACTATTGTTGAAACTGAAATATTCTAAAAATTGACAATTTCATGATATCAAGAATTTAATGACATAAAACAAGACAGCAACATAATCCTCTACTACCATTAACATCATATGATCCCTATACTTTTGTTCTTGAAATACTGATGCCTATAAAAAGAAATGTTATTCCTGTGTTTGTATGAACGTAATCATAATAATTTGGATGATTACGCTGTCAAATAATAGAGGTGAGAATAAGCAAAGTACAAAGAATAGAAGAAACAAATTTCAGTCTACTAAACTGAGCCTGAGCAAAAAGACAAGTATTTCAAAGAAATACCATCACTATTTTGTTTTGCAAATCAGGAATTTTAGTATGAACTAAGAGTAACAGGCGAACAGATGAAGACTCCCAGGATAAAAGAACAACATCCTCCATAACTCTGCTTTTATGACCCTTAACATTCTCTTTTTTAAGCAAATTAATTATATTTATACTTGTTCAACTTTCTTTGCCTGCATCCATGTTCATTCTACACAGTCTCAGCCTAAAATGCTACCTTATCTCACCTTTGCAAACTCAGAGGAGACTAGAACATGTACTGTGAAGTCAGAATGGACTACTTGGGTTTGAATCCTGTTTTGTGTGGCCATCTATGTGTCCGTAGGTAATTTACTTGCCTGGTTTCCTATCAATGGTGATTAATAGTACCTAAACACTATGGTGTTATGAAAATTAAAGTGGATAACATTTGTAAAGCATTTACCAGTGCTTTGTACAGTTCTCAAAATATGGTCAATAGACAGTAAAGGTACACAGACTCTTTGTTACCAATCCACAAAAAGCTAAGTACAGAACTTGAGAATAATTTTATCTGTTGAATCTAGTAATAAAAAAACTGGTGCCTATATTTTATGTCTCCTTTTATGTCATTTTCCTAGTACTAAATTTTTACTATATTTTACAAAAGCATTAATATATAATGAACTGGAAACTTAAAAAGAAATTAATCCATCAACACAAATAATGAGATACACTGCTTTAATCTGTAGGCATTTTAAAACTAAATGGCCCTATGGTCTTTCAAATAAATACTTCAAAAGAATCATTGTCTTAATAATTCTCAAATCATCATTGATTCTTTCCACTTAATTCAGCTTATCCATTCGATAATTATCTACTATATGCTAGGCACTGTGCAAGCTACTGGGAACTTAAGAAATGAGAGGGTACCCATGCTCAAGATATTTATACTCTATTGAAAGAAGATAAACATATACCAATAATTACAATATACAGCATAATAAATGCTATGATAAAAGTAACAAAGGGTGCTATGATAGACAAGAGAAAGTCTTAACACCCTGAACAATGGGGGAAAGAACAGGCAAGACATTGATAAGGATTAATATTTACCAAATTAATAAAAAAAACTCACAGTCAGGGCACCTGGGAGTTCAGTCAGTTAGGCATCCTACTCCTGGTTTCAGCTCAGGCCATGATCTCAGGGTCCTGGGATCAGACCTGGCATCGGGTTCCACACTCAGTGGGGAGTCTGCTGGAGGTTTTATTCCTTGGTCCCTCTCCCTCTCTCACTAACTCTCTCTCTCTCAAATAAATAAATAAATAAATAAATAAATAAATCCTTTTAAATAAATAAATAAATAAAAATAAAAGAATAGATTAAGTGACCTTTGGGCAACATCAAGCATACCAACATTTGCATTTTGTGGGTACCAGATGTTAAAGAGAAAGAGAGGGAAAAAAATTATCTGAAGAACAGCTGAAAAATTCCCTAACTTGAGGAATAAAACAGATATCCAGGTCAAGGAAGGAAAGAAAGCCCTAAAGGAGATAAACTTGAAGAGGTCTACCCCAAAGCACATAATAATTAAAATGTCAAAAATTAAAGACAGAATCTTAGAGCAGCAAGACAAAAAAGTAAGTATTATGTAGAAGGAAACAACCACCTAAGTCTATAGTTTCAACTATTCAGTAGAAACTCTGCAGCCCACAGCATGATATACTCAACGTGCCAAAACAGGAAAACAAACAAACAAACAAACAAAAAACCTACAACCAAGAATACTCTACTCAGTAAGGTTATCACTCAGAATTCAGAATTCATTCAGGAGAGAGAGTTTCCCAGGTAAACAAAGTTAAAGGACTCCATCACTACTAAACCTACTTTACAAGTAGTGTTTAAGGGACTTCTTGGAGCAGAAAAGGCCACAACTAGAAAAAATTATGAAAGAAAACATTTCACTAGTAAAAGCAAATATATGGTAAAAATGGTAGCTCACTCATAAAAGTAGTATGATGGTTAAAAGACAAAAGTAGTAAAATCAATTTTATCTACAATAATGAGTTAAAGGATACACAAAATAAAAAGATGTAAAATATATATGTTAAACAAGTAAAACAAAGGGAGGGGAAGAATGTAGTGCTTTTAGAAACTTAAGTGACCATAGCATGTTTTTTTTTTTTTTTTAAGATTTTATTTATTTATTTGACAGAGAGAGATCACAAGTAGACAGAGAGGCAGGCAGAGAGAGAGAGAGAGAGAGAGGGAAGCAGGCTCCCTCCTGAGCAGAGAGCCCGATGCGGGACTCGATCCCAGGACCCTGAGATCATGACCTGAGCCGAAGGCAGCGGCTTAACCCACTGAGCCACCCAGGCGCCCGTGACCATAGCATGTTATACATAGCATGTATACATAGCATGTTATACATGAACCTCATTGTAACCACAAACCAAAACCCAGTAACACATATATAAAAAATAAAAAGAATCCAGCAAAACACTAAAAAAAGTCATCAAATCACACGGGAAAAAAGGAAAAAAAAAAAAACACCAAGACTGCAAAAACAACCAGAAAACTATTAACAAAACAGCAATCAGGATATACATATCAGTAATTATCTTAAATGTAAATAAACTAAATTCTCCAATCAAGAGAGAAGGTGACTGAATAGATTAAAAAACAAAAACAAAAACAAGACCTATCTATATGCTGCCTACAAGAGGCTCATTTCAGACCTAAAGATACATACAGACTGGAAGTAAAGGGGTGGAAAAAGATATTCCAGGAAAATGGAAACAAGAAAAGCTGAGGTAGCAATACTTGTATCAGATAAAACAGGCTTTAAAACAAAGACTTTAACAAGAGACAAATATGCCCCTTACACAATGATAAAGAGATTAATCCAACAAGAGAATACAACAACTATAAATATCTATGCACCCAACACAGAAGTACCTAAATATATAAGTCAAACATTAATAGACATAAAAGGAGAAATTGACAGTAATACAGTAAATAGTAGAGGACTTTAGCACTACACTTACATCAATGGATACACCGTGTATACACAAAATTTCCAAGGAAACATTGGCTTTGAACAACACATCAGAGCAGATGCACTTAACAGATACATACAGCATTCCACCCAAAAAGAACAGAATACATTCTTTTCAAGTATACATGGAACATTCTCCAGGAGATATCACATTTAGGCTACACAACAAGTCTCAATAAATTTAAAAACACTGACATCGTATCAAGCATCTTTTCTGAATACAACAGTATGAAACTGAAAAATCAATCACAAAGAAAAAACTGGAAAAACGAAAACACCTGGAGGCTAAACAATATGCAACTAAGTAACCAATAAGTCAACAAAGAAATCAAAGAAAAAAATAAAATACTTTGAGACAAATGAAAATGTAAACTTGACACTGAAAACCTTTGAGACACAGCAAAGGCAGTTCTTTAAGAGGAAAGTTTATAGTGATAAAAGAAAAATCTCAAACAATCTAACCTCACATCTAAAAGAGCTAGAAAAGAACAAAACCCAAAGTTAACAGAAGGAAGGAAATAATAAAGATCACAGCAGAAATAAATGAAATAGAGACTCAAAAAAATAGAAAATATCGGGGGCCTGGGTGGCTCAGTGGGTTAAGCCTCTGCCTTCAGCTCAGGTCATGATCTCAGGGTCCTGGGATCGAGTCCTGCATCGGGCTCTCTGCTCGGCAGGGAACCTGCTTCCTCCTGTCTCTCTCTCTGCCTACTTGTGATTTCTCTGTCAAATAAATAAATAAAATCTTTAAAAAAAAATAGAAAATATCAAAACTAATAGCTGGTTCTTCAAAAACAATTAATAAACCTTTAGTCAGACTCATCAAGAAAAAAAGAGAGGTGGGCGCCTGGGTGGCTCAGTGGGTTAAAGCCTCTGCCTTCAGCTCAGGTCGTGATCCCAGGGTCCTGGGATCGCGCTCCACCATAGGACTCTCTGTGCAGCATGGAGTCTGCTTCCTCCTCTCTCTGCCTGCCTCTCTTCCTACTTGTGATCCCTGTCTGTCAAATAAATAAATAAAATCTTTTAAAAAAAAGAAAAGAAAAGAAAAAAAGAGAGGACTCAAAATCAAAAATGAAAGAGGAGGGAAGTTACAACCAACACCACAGAAATAAAATGGATTATGAGGCTACAATGAAAAAGTATACACCAACAAAGTGGACAATGTAGAAGTAAGGACAAGTTCCCAGAAAAAAGCAATATTTCAAGAATGAATCAGGAAGAAAAAGAATTTGAACACATTAATAACTAGTAATTTGACTCAGAAACAACGAAAAAAACTCATAACAAAAAAAGTGTATGAGCAAATGGCTTCACACATGAATTTTACCAAACATTTAAAAAAGAATTAATATCCATCCTTCTCAAACTATTCCAAAAAATTAGAGAAAAAAAATTAAATAAAGGCTTCCAAATTCATTCTACGTAA